AAGATCCAGTTTATTGGCAACAGCAAGTGCTGGCATGGATCCATTTTTAAGATGATCGTGGCAGGTGTGACAAATCCACTCTCTCTTTCTCTCATCGCACATTGCACTGCTCATTTCTGCAGTTTTCATCACAAACATGAACAAACTTTCCTGTCAAACATGTTGCAACCACATGTGGGTTTTTGACATAATTTGACCTTGTGCAGGGTCGTACTTGGTTTGGAAATGAAGCCTTCAAACAGCCAGTACATGGGTATGATGGTCCAACTTTGATTTGTGATTTGAACACAGATATGGCCTCGTTGATTACACTGTTGTCACTCTCTTGGGTTTGTCTGTTGACCCATCTGTATTTCCTTTTTATTTTCATTGCACATCTCATGTTGTGCATAATTCTGAATGCAAGATTACTTTGATACCTGTCTCGCATTAGTTGTTTCATTAGTTGTCTGTGTCTTACTCTGAATGCATTGTCACGTGCATAACGCTGAGTCACTCGAGATCTCTGTCTCTCTCTGAATTCTGGGCTCTCTTGATACCTTTTAGTGATATAGCTTTTTTGTTTCTTTCTAAATTCAGCATTGTCACAGTATCGTCTTTTAATATATTGTTGTTGTTTCTTTCTGAATTCAGCATTCTCACAGTAAAGTCTTTTTATATAGTCTCGTCGTTTTTGTCTGAATTCATCATTCTCACAGTAAAGCCTTTTTATATAGTCTCGTCGTTTTTGTCTGAATTCATCATTCTCACAGTAAAGCCTTTTTTTATATTGTTGTTGTTTCCGTCTGACTTCAGGATTGTCTTTATATGCCTTGCTTGTGCAAGATTTTTTCTTTTCTTTGTACTCTTTATTTGAAGCATATGTTTGTCGTTCTTTCATTTTTTGGTTTTCTTTTCTCTGTTTTCTCTGTTTTTCTGATGCCATTAATCTTCTTTTCATTTTTTGTCTTCGTTGTTTATTAACTTTGGTCATTTTGTAGATTTTCTTTAAAGCAGTACAGGAAAGATCACAGGCTACTGCATTATTTACTGCAGAAGAGTTTAACTGGCTGCATGAAATGTCATTCTCTGGTAGGAAATTACATTCACTGGGTGGTACTGATTCAGTTTGTGGTTTTACAGATGGTGTGTTTCTCCTTGGAGTAGAGGAGTTTGCTTCATCAACAGTTTTATCAGAGTGAGTAGGTGCCACAGCAGTGGCAGCTGTTGGTCTGCAGACTGTGTCTGTGATAGTATCACTCAGGTTGACTGTGCTCATACTGTAGAACTGCACAGGCTTCAGTTCATAGGTACAAGAGGGTGATATCTCCATCCCTTCATAAGAATCTTGGAGCCTCTTAATCATGTCACTGAGGAGTGTGAATTTCAGCATCACTGCTGTACCACGATTACGTGACCATAGTGGTAGAGGAAGACCACTGGCTGTTCTTGGGTGTGGGTCAAAAAAACCATATTTGCCTGATGTGGATCTGAACACTGCGATACACAATCCACTCATAATCAGTAAGGCATACTGCACATCTGACAACAGGCAGCTCAGTCCTGCTTCTAAGCTGAGAAAGGTATCTACTGCTTCTTCTGAAGGTTCTTCAAATGTCCCATACCGGGAAAGCTGTGTCATGTCGACATGATACATAGACCTGCGAGCATCAACTTTGTCTGGCAGCTCATCGGTTGCCAAATGAATATTTTTAGGAAATCTTTTCTTGGCCTCTTTGTACATCATATCACCTTTATCCAAGACCAGATTAAGGTCAACTGTAGACATGTTTTCATTTTCATGAAGGAAAGCAAGAAATATGAGTGAGTTACATGTGCACTGCTTGTTTCTGGAGTCTCCATATTTAGGATGAGCCTGGCTGTGAGATGCACAGACATGTGTTACAGAGGGCTGGTTTTCAAGGTTCACTCTTTCTGCATGAGATCGTCCTACCACATCACTGTGACGGCCTCTTTTCACAAAATCAGCATTACCCACCTGTGGGGCACTTGACACCTCATGTTGTTCATTAAATTCATGCTGCAGTCCACTCTTTACAGCATCTGCATAGGATATCTGTTGTACATGTGCAGGAACATGTTGACCTGCCTGTTTGACACCATCAGCATTGGTCTTTGCAGACACACTGTCTTCTGCAGAGCACTGAGGAAAATCACACTCAGCTTGTTCACATGTTGGCACACTGTGAAACTCATGGAACTTCTTCCAGCGTTGTTTTGCAGCTTGTGACTTTTTCTGCTTCCTTGGCATTTTTACACAAGTGTTTCTCTTAGTCTTTAGAAAATATGTTTATAAAATAAGAGTGGCACACAGCAGGAGATGTTTTCTTTGTCTTTATATTTCAGTTTTTATTTCTCAGAAACAGATGTTTTTGTTTGTTTGACAGTTTGTCAGTCGAGAGAATAATATGCACTCTCTTTATTGGCTTGGCACAACTTAGCAGCAAGCGCAGAGTGAAAAACAGCTAGAGAGAAAATTTAGAAGAGAGAACAGACAGAGCAGGAGAAACACGGCTGGGAAATCACAATCAAACCGTGAATTAGAGTTTTCTTTATTTGTTCAGTTTGTTCTCAGGTAGAGGCAATATGCACTCTTTATTGCTTTAATGGCTTGGCGTTTTTCAGCAGCAAGCCAAGAGTGAAAAACGGGTAGAGAGAAAATTTAGCAGAGAGAACAGAGAGAGCAGGAAAGACACGGCTTGGAAATCAAACCGCAGTTTTCTTTGTTTGTTCAGTTTGTTCTCAGGTTGAGGCAAAATATGCACTCTTTATTGCTTTATTGGCTTGTGCATTTTTCAGCAGCAAGCCAAAGAGTGAAAAACAGGTAGAGAGAAAATTTAGCAGAGAGAACAGACAGAGCAGGAGAGACACGGCTTTAAATCAAACCGCAATAAGATTCTTGGTTTGGCAAAATTTCTCACAAACCACAGGGTGAAATACAGATGGAAAGAAGGCAGAGACAACAGGTGGAGTAGGACAGAAGATAGAGGGGTTGGGGGGTTGGGATGTGAGATAGAAGACTGGAGATCTGGTCCTTGTTCTTCTTCTGCACACTGTGAACAAAAAACAAGAAAAAAATAATTTTAATAAAATGATATCACATGGTAATTGTATGAACTAATTGTGACTACTGAAAAAGGACAAAACGAATATTCAAGCTAAACTGTTGTCGGCTGCCATGTGCAAAAAGTTGCACAATTTGGCACTTTTAAAAAGAATAAATATTTAATTAAATTCAGCAATAGTATTTTTAAATACAAATATGATTGAGTGAATCATTAATTAATCACATGTGGTGTGACTACAAAAATGTACAATAAAAATATTTTAGCCCAATTGTTAAGCTGGACTTATGTGTATTTATTATAAAATTGTGTTTAAAAGGTCTAGCACAAAGTTTGAACCCATCACTTTACAGCTTATATTAGTCAGATTATTTTTTTATTTTGGTCTACTTTTCTTAGAGCATGTGCACACCTACCACGCAAAGCACAGGTGTCAGTCAAGTTCCTGAAAGTGTAAGACAAGAAATAATATGTTAGTTGTCTGTACAGTGTTATCAGACTAACAGAAATACAAAGCCCACACGACATGATACACTGAACTTATAGTCAGCAGGGTAATTATAGAGTAATATAGCACACTAGCTCAAACAGCAGCCATTTTATAATTCAAATTAATTAACTGAAGTATTTCCACTTATGTAAGGCTATTGTTAGACTGTTACTAGCCTTAGCATTGCTGCTAGCGCTAGCATTCCGGCTAGAATTCCTGCATTCCTGTCAGTTAACAACTGCTAAGGCTAGTGTTAGCACTATAGCTAGCGTTAGGATTATTGCTAGCATTAGCATTGACGCTAGCATTAGCATTGAAGCTAGCGTTAGCACTGCTGCTAACAGCAAAAGTCATAAAGCACTCTTACTGTTAAAACTGAGCCACAATGGCAATAATAAAGCCCATTTGTTACTTTTGTCTCACTGACTGCCAATAAATATCACAGGAATATCACAGGAATATTCTTTTTGTCAGTTAACAACTGCTAAGGCTAGTGTTAGCACTATAGCTAGCGTTAGCATTGTTGCTAGCATTAGCATTGAAGCTAGCGTTAGCACTGCTGCTAACAGCAAAAGTCATAAACCTATATAAATGATAGCGAAGGTTATTCTTGTTTTGCTTTCTTTAATCTTTGAACTCTGTTGAACTTTAAAAAGACTTGATATGTGAGTTTAAATGTCAAACATGTATTTTTACCATCATAAAAATAAAACAGTGCTGTACTGAGTGTATTGTACTTACCACAGCAGAGAGCAAAGCGGAATGACAACAGTTGGTGCAGTGATTAGTTAAAGACCGATGAGGCATTCAGGTGGTGCTTGGAAATTTGAGCATCAGTTTGAACAGCAATATTGAGCATATACATTTCTCTGTCATAGAGAGACAGAGAAAAAAAATACACAAGACTCATCAGCATACAAATTGGTACTTTTTCCTGAGTATAAGCGAATGAGTGACATACAGAGAAAGAGGGCAACTGGCATTAAACGAGCAAATAAAAAGTATGTCATCTTGAACTGTTTCATGGGTTTTATTTTAAGACTACTTTGGGTGTATTCGTGGGGAGATAAACTATACAGACTAAAAACAGAGACATTAAATGAGATTAGATCATTTAAAATGTGGGAAAATCCACTACAGACAGGTAGATGCTGTGAGCTTTAATTATCCAGTCAGAAAAAGATTATTTTATAGTCATCAACTGACTGCAACTGCCCAGATCTGAAAAACCTGTGTGCAGAAGACAAGTCCACCAATACACAATCAGCTTGAATTATACTGACATACTGTTAATCTGTGGCAAAACCCTGTCAAATCTGACTTATTGACTTGTTGACTTAATCTAACTCCAACTGCTTAGTTGTAACAGAAATTTTTAAGATGAATCTTGGCAGAGTGGCAGAGAGAGCTCGTTAAGCAGGCAGG